TGAAGCATGCTTACAAAATGAGTTACTTTTCTTATTCAAGCTGTTTAAAGAAATAGATACACCACACTTATAGGTGAGGTTTGCTCCTTCTTTCCTATCGAGCATCCATCGTCCTCATCTCTTCTGTTGTGTGTGTGTGTGCGTTTGTTACTATTTGACCCTAGTGTCGAATTTTGGTCAACTTCCCCATCTGTGGATTGCGAGAAGTAACTCATTTTGTCTGCTCACCTCACAAATCTAAAAATTCAGAAGTCAAATCGCTATCCTAGTATTACAAAGGTAATCCTATAGGTAAGGCAATACCCACTTTTCGTGTTTGTCAAGATTTCTGGAACCCAACGAAATCTGGGTTAGCCCGCTTGTCCATAAAAGCGTACCATGTTACACAAATTGGACGTAATAGCCATTGTGTTACAATTACAGCCATGCGGGCAGTGCCGTTGTGTTTGTCGAGCAAACGAACAGTCAAGAAGTTAATGGTAGGTAGGCCACAACCAAAGCCGCTCTACTAAAACAAACAAAACAACCAAAGCCGCACCGCTGTACCGTTCACTAGTGTAAATAATAAATGCGTTGGCGAGATCGTTCATTGATGAATGTACTTTTATTTCTCCTGTGGTGTTTTCATTTTTATTAAGACCGAGTCTGAAGTAAGCTTACGTCAATGAAAAAAAAACACCAACAAAACCAAACAAAACTATTAAAAAACACGTTTCTAGTTTGAGTGTTGCCATAATAATCTTTGTATGTTTGCACCTGCCTTGAGTGTTGTTTTAATACTATTATTTGAGTGTTTAAATGTGCCTGTCTCGAATGTTGTGTTACCGTGATATTGGATTTTTAGTATATTAGTATTTTAAAAAAAATGTTTTACCGATTCTGTTTGCTTGAGGTCAACTATGCTAATTTGAAGAGTTTTGCCTACAGATAATTTTCGGTGGGTTGGAGTATGCCACTGGTAGGTCTTACTTCTTTTTTTATTCCTTTTTTTGAAATTTTGCATGTTTGTCTTACTTGCTCTTTCCCTTATCCAAACCACTGTTATTGTGTCGATGTGCGCCTCTTTACTCAATCAAATTACTTGTGGGAAATTAGTTATCATAAAAACTTGGAAAACAAAATAGACTGCGAACAAACATGGAATAGATTTCGATATACTTTAAATCATTTCATTTTTCTCTTTCATCCATAGGAAGATGCAGTTTTCTATGGTAGGCCAACTCTGCAGATCTTTCAAGTGAGATGTTGTAGTTTCTCAGGGTTCCAGATTACTCTCTCTCTCTCTCTCTCTCTCTCTCTCTCTCTCTCTCTCTCTCTCTCTCTCTCTCTCTCTCTCTCTCTCTCTCTCTCTCTCTCTCTCTCTCTCTCGCTCTCTCTCTTGCCCTTTTTAACCCTCAGTGGAGCATAGGCCATTAACAACATAATTTCTCCAGCAAAGCCTGTTCTGTGCATCCTTTTCTAACTGTTTCCATGATGTCCCCGCCTTTTCCATAAATTCCGCTAGTACCGCTCGCCTCCATGTCATCTTTAGTCTTCCTTTCTCACGTTTTCCTTGTTGACTCCACGTCAAAACCACAAAGGGCACTGCCGGGAATGAATTAGGAGTCAATGAAACATAATATTTGGACTGGAGCTGCTTTCATTGATTTTTTAATTATTATATTTGGTCATTAGTATTATGAGAATTCTGGCTGACCAAACACCTTAAAGTGCATACTGTGGAACAGTGAGGTTCTTTTGTTTTACAACAATGAATGGTACTTGTTCAATCACTCTCTCTCTCTCTCTCTCTCTCTCTCTCTCTCTCTCTCTCTCTCTCTCTCGCTCACTCTCTCTCCCTCGTTGGTCAGCGAACTCAGGTTCTCGCAAAGTCAGTGACCTCCTAAAACTAAAACTAAAAGTCGGTGAACATTTGAGCCTTGGGAACGAGCTCCTGAATGCATCACATCGTCATGTGGAGAAGGTGAGTGGGGTTTTTTTGTGCTACTGCTGCTGCTGCTGTTGTTGTTGTTGTTGTTGCTGCGGCTGCTGCTGCGGCTGCTGCTGCTGTTGTCGTTATTGTTGTTGTTGTTTTTGTTGTTGTTGTTGTTGTTGTTGTTGAGGCGGTTGTTGTTGTTCGACTTTTTCTGCTGTTGAAACTGTTTTTGGGATGTGTGTCTCTATTATTGCTCTTGTCGTTATTGTTGTTGTCAATAATTATGATACTAATAATAATAATAATAATAATAGTAATAATAATAACAACAACAACAACAACAACAACAACAACAACAACAACAACAACAA